ACGAGGCTCGGATATGCGCGAGAGAAAGTAGGAATATAAAATACCGTGCCGCGAACACGTGAAATGCTATTACGCGTTTGATCCATAAAATTAGACGTTCGATGATGCGAATTACGTTCGTGTTTATGTCTCGCATATTTTATGCACATTCCAGCGGGATAGACGCAAACCGCGCCGATGAGGGTTAATTTTCACAGTTCTATTCAAGAATAACGGAGCTCGGTCGCTCGGGAGAGTCCAATTTGTTCACGGCGCGGAATCCGGCGTGAGATCCGTTATCGAGCGGGTTCGGGATTCTTTTCCGCAGACACGAAAGCCGCGTGATGCCGCCGCCGCCGCATTCCCGCGAAATTATTGCCTACTGGTAACTCTCTCGGACCTTCCGCTGCCGATGCCGGGTGTGCGCGATGGTGTCTCGAAATTGGCATCATAGAGGAGCGGTTTCAGAAATAAGCGAGGTGGAACTGATCCCACGAGGAGGAACAGACGTATCGAGAGAAACTATTTACATGGGCGTCGTGAGAGAGACGCGACGACGTAGAGTCTCTCTGGATTTCCGCGAGCGGAGAAACTTTCAGCAATAAATTAATTGAAATTACACAGAATTTATTTCCATTGATATTGGATGCAAATTTTCTAATTTATTCTTCGCATTAAGCAGAGTCAACCGTGTGAAGTGAATGACGTATGACAATAACAATCTTCTAAATAAAGACGATACAATTTTCGGTCCAAAAAGTCATCTCTGAATCAAGTTTTTTTGAATTTTTTTCGATAAATAGTTCTGATCTTTTAATGACAGATTTCTATGACTATTATTCCACGGCTATTATAATCAATTTATAATGATTTCAAGGAAACTGTGAAGATTGCACGGCGCGCAATCGTCCCCATCGACTCCGACGCGATTCTAATGAAGGAGCCTTAGATTTTAATAAGTTCCGAAGAAAAATTCCGGCGGCGCCGATGGCGATTCTACGGCTACGCGCGATCCCGTCGACCGTGCTGCCCCGAGGACGTTCCCATGAGTCGGGGGCGGCCACACCGACGCTTTCGTAGGCCTCTGGAAGATGCTGGACCCGAGAGCACCCGGGGGCCATGCCATGTTCCTCGTGAGCGGTGCGTGCAACCGCGCGCTCTCGCAAACACGTTATTACGCGAACCCTTAATAACCCACCTGAGAGAGTTAACCTCTGCCTTTCTTTCTCTTTCTCTTTCCTCGGTTCAAAGTGACTCTCGCTCGTCTCGCTTCTTCTCCATCGCTTCGACCCGGCTATCGGATTAGCTGTTTCTCCAGCGATGTACAAGGTAGCTAGTTGCCTCGATATAGCTCTGACGTCTATCGTGACTTCGCGGACATTATGGAGCTAGGATTTGCACTAGAACTATATTGTACTTGGCAATGGAAAAATCGAGCTTTACGTATCTTCTTCAAAGCGGAAGGGTCAGAGTGGAAAATAATTTTTTAGACTCTTAAATAATTTCACGTTTCTATCGCGATATCAATAGAATTGAAATCATCATTATTGCGTCTATAATAAAAATTAAACTTATTAACATTATTTTCTTTTATACAGTTTACTAGACTTCAAGATATTTTTGTAAGTTTTATCTACAAGCAAATAGAAAAAGATTATTTGTTTCCTAGAAGCCTTGACAATTTAATAAAATGTTTTGAAAAAACTTTTTAAGTGCGATAAAAGAAGTAAAAGAATTCTTTGAAGAGGAAGAATTCTTACATTTATAATTGTCGAACGCTTTTTATATACTTTTCTCATGAACATGAGAAATTGATTTCAGTGACGATAGCTGTATTAATTCGTAAAGCTTTTGCTTCACGAATCCTTATCAATGCTCGAGAAGCATTCTATTGAATTTCTATAGGAGCAGTTATTGTTCTTCGAATGGAACTTAGTTTAGAATGTTGCTGGTACGTGATCCAGACAGCAGGAATTAGGAGAATGCGAATAATTCCATTGCCGCATACATAAGTGCGCTTCGGCGCGTACGTTCGCGCCTCGGCGAATATTGAGCGACGAAGTCGCGAACGGATGAACCAGGAAGCGATGCGATGCAAGAAGCTCTTGACCTTGTTACGTCGCCAGATCAATGTCGACGGAAGGTATTTGCGCAGTTGTCACGTCATTCGTAACGCTTCCGCGAGATGAAGCTTCTCTTTTGTTTGAGTTTTTAAATTGCTATTGATCCATGCCAAAAAACTAACGTATTGACAATTCAATGTGCCAGACGAAAAGATAACAATTGTGTAATTTGTAAAGTTACGCGACAAATGCGGGCGTAATTATCAAGCTCGGCACACGTCTACTTTCCGATAAGATCTTATCGGCACGATAAAAAAAAAGTTGTAACACACAATCGAAAGTCGTTACTTTTACATCGCGTTAGAAATGCTTTACGATTTCTGCGTAATGTGGCGAAGTGCAATCAATGTTCGCGCGAAGGTGCGAAACTATTGATTTTCACAGTCGGCATGTTGCCGCTCGGCCAGTCTAGACGCGCTCGTCTTGCATCATGAAGACATCTTCTACGTCTGCCATTTCGCGAATTTCGTTATTAGGACCGTATGAGGCCGGGCCGAGTCTCGACGCCCGGGAGCGCCGCGACGACGGCCGCAAGTCCGCCGAGTCGGTGACCGGAACAACGGCTTCTCTATTGATACACACCGTCGCGTTTAGATTAGTCCGATTCCCGACGCGCCGAAGGTGTTTTTCGGCTATTCGCCGGCCCGGCGAGATAGTCCGGCGGATTATCATGCACGTGCATGTCGACAAAGGAAGTTTAGCTTGTAAAGCTGATTAAACCTTAGTTAATCACAACCGAGCAGGCCGGCATGACGGAGATGGAGGTAGCACTTCGTCGGCGCGTCCGCACACTCGCTCTCCCCTCTATCGAGCATCCCTTCTCCGCAGTACGCATGGTTCTCTCTCCCCCCCCCTTCTCTCTCACTCCTCCGTGCCCCTTCCACGCGACAGATTAAATTCCTCGAGCACGTGCTCTCCCCGTAGCAGCTGGGGCGAGCGGGCGGTCCCGCGCGGCAAACCGGCGCGCGCGACACACGCTCCGCGCCTTTCATGTTCGCCCGCTGCGCGCGACATAGCAACTGAATTCGGTACTGCAGTCCGCGAATTCCGGAGATTCTACCGTCATACCTAACGGCCGCCGGAATTCCCCCCGGTGGCTGGCTCTTCCGCCTCCTCTTTTCCTTCGTCGCCTTGGACGTTGTCCGAGTGCGTGTTTCCTTTCGTTATTCCGCGTCCCCGAACGAAGCGCGTTAAAATGCGTAGCATTGTGAAGCTGCATCGCGAGATTACACAATTACATAAGTTGTCGGCTGACAATCGAGGCGTTATCTATCATTCGAATAGTTCGTCCTTGGAGATTTTAAATTCCGCAAATCGGAAGAACAGGCGCAGTGCGATGAATTGATGATTTCGATGTAACATAGGCTCGCTATAACGCTGTAACAATCGGGTCGTCGAATTAAAAGCATTCGGCAAAAGTGTTCTGATGCACAAAGCGGAGAATGAGAGCGATTCCTCGTACGCGTTTCAGCGCGAACACGCGGAGAAGCGTGGAGTGGGACGTGTAGAAGTGACGAAGAAGGGGGATATATGTCTGGCGAGAGAATGACGAAGAGAAAGATATCGGCAGAAGGAGAAGAGCTCCTCGAATAGCTGTTTTCCTGGCACATCGGCGCAGCGCCGCAGCGCCACGCGTCACGGCGAGCACCATCGCAACGCGCGGCGCCCTTACGCTGGCCATCGCGACGCGGCTACGCCGTGGCGCTTTGACTCCTCCCTGTCATCATCGTCGCGATGCTGCGCGGCGCAGACGCTCTTCTCCGTCGGCGTCGAACAGCGTCTAGCGTGCGATGACGATGGAACAGACAGCAATGTGTCGAGACACTTCAGAACCCTGGGCTGAATAATTAAAAAAAAAAAAGACGAAAACGACGAAAATGATCAATCTTGTGTTGCGTTATGTCGCGCAAACATTCACGTATGATTCGGGATACAATTATTTAATACAGGAAAAAATAGAAATCTCTAAAAGAAGAAAAAGATCATTACGAGTCTCTTGAGTCACACGTGCATGCAACGTTGATCAGATTCATTTGCAACTTTAAAATTGAAAATTTAATATAAAAAAACTTGTCTACGTAAGAAGCAAATTCATTCTTAATTGAAATAAATTCTCTTTCAGTGAGATAGATTTTGTTTTCGTGAGATTTTAATTTAAAGTTTAGTTATTGAGTTTAATTAATGAAAATATAGTTGACTCAAATTGACAAAGAATTGTACTTACAATTTTCAATTCAATACAGTTGACATAATACATGTTTAACAAAAGGCAACATTTTATTTCCTTTTGCTTTTTGGAATTTCTCCCTTTTTGGATATCAGATTTAAAAGACATTGATTCAGTTTTGCCTGTGCGCGTTTATAAAGCATTGAACGCCACCTTCTGGTCTAAGCATACACGAGCAAGCAGTAGTCATCAGTCTATCAGCACGTAAACGAACGCTAACAGTCAGTAAGATGTCTTCATGGTACGCGGCGAAACAGCTGATCTTCTTTACCAGCGCATGTTCCAAAGCTTTGACTCGCTGCTCACAATCAGTCACGTACTGTGCTGCTATCGTTAATAAGTAGCAGAGAATAGTAGTCATTTAGCATTCTACCTTCGTTGTTGATCGTCAATGACATCTTCACTAATGATACCAGCAATTGTACGGTCTTGCAAAAGTCGCGTACTTTGTTTGAAAGTTGACAGTTGTTGATAACTTAATGACACTCTTTAAGCACGTTTATTATATATATTAAAAAGTCATTTGCTTTATCGTAGACTTTAATATATTTGTCATATCATGACATTATCATTAATTTAAATATTGGTCAGTCAATTATAATTATTATAATAATTTTAATTAGATGTCGGCTCTTGATATCGTAATTCTTGGTCGTTTGTAAGGGAAATGATTTACTAAAAATTGTCTATTTATTTAAAAATTCAATGAATTACTGTATAATTGGACTAAACGCTTCTCATGACATTTATCTTTTTTTTCTTTTTTTTGGTAACTGTGCAACTTATTATGATATATCCCCGAGTCGAAATTTTTCTCCTATTTTTGACCAAAATGTTCAATCTAACACCTAATTTGATACTTTAGGCAGTCACATTACCTTATCTTGATTTAACCTTTGGCTCTTTACCTTATCTTGATTTAACCTTTGGCTCTTTACCGAAACTCTTCTTTTAAACCATAATAAGAAACAGTTCGTTTGCTGTCTATTTGAGGTACAAAATAGGAGCAAATACAATACAATACATATATATTCTTATATAAATAAAATCTATCAAAATCCTCCAGAATCCGTAAACGTGAAAAAATAGAGGTTGAAATTAGGAATAAAATTTCGACTCGGGCGGGTAGTCAAAAATTAGATGTAAAACATATAATCATTCTATATCATTCAATCCTGACAATTTGACAAAACTAACGAAGCGAACTTAATTCGATGTTATTATAATAAAAATGATATAAAAGTGTGATATAAAATTCAAAGTTTCTATCTTTGTTGCGTGCCTTCTGCGTCATTCTATTTATACAATAGAAAATAATTGTGATAATAAATTACATTTATGAATTAAAATTACATTTATGAATTTGTAAAAAACATTTTTTACAAAACATATTTCAATTCTAAGTTAGCGAGCAATAAAAAATAGGGATGCGTCTTGCTAACTATTGCTAAGTTAAAAGATCAACCAATCGGCGTAATATTCGAAAGTAATAAAAACGTGAGGAGAAAGAATACTGTCCCGTTTGGAATATATCGTGTCTCGATAAATCGACACACTTCTATCGTCGCACTCATTTCGCAACGTCCTGACAGTCCACGCAGTTCTTATTTAAAACGTTATACAGTTGGTTTGTCTTTGAGAGGAATCGATTCAGGATCATTCTCTAGAGCGACGCCGTTTTTCTTCGTCTGGCTATCAAGCGGGCTGTTCCACTTTTGCAACTCGCCGGTGCCGAAAATGGCGAACGTAAGTGCACCGATGCAATACGCAGCCGCCAAAGTCCAGAAAATGATGGTCCACTGCGTGTACGTTTGATTTTGGTAGGTAATGGCGCCGACCAGTTGGCTACTGACGAAACCGCCTATCGAGCTGAAGGTGTTGGCGATGCCGAATATAGTTCCGGAGAAATTGGGAGCGATGTCGAGACCGTTTCCCAGATAACCAGCCGTCACGCCGCCGTTTATCGTCAGGGCGGCGGTGAATATGGCAACTGATGCCGTGCGATTGCAACCGTAATAGGCTTGGAGCATCATGAGAATGCCGGGAGATAACACAGCTGAAAATCAGAGTTGCTTTGTTGATCGAAAATGAAATCTTCAAACTCGATTATAAGAGAATTAATAATTCATTTATATCGAAAGAATTCGATCGTATGAATCGACACAATAGATATAAAAAGTTGACAAAAACATTCGTGAAGATTTACTCACCTAATGTTGTGAAAATTTTGCGGATTGCGGTGACGGTCAATTTGTTCGTGCGACGCAAGTAATCGGCCAGAGTGGATAATAATACCGCGCAGATGTACTTGCCGAAATACGGCAATGAGGATAACAGGCCGTTCTGCGAAAATCAGTTTCATACTTGAGCAATGCATCAGAAAGAGAAAAAGAAAACGACGATATGGGTGAATTTTATCCATTTTTTATTCATAATCCGTACCTCCTTAACGTTGAAGTTTAAGATGTAGTTCATGTAAGTTGGAAGCTGGTGGACAATAGTGGTAAAACCGAAGACGCTGCACGTGTGCGTTATCACGATGGCCCACACGGGTGCCGAGGTGACAATTGAACGCCATGGCACTGGCGAACGCTGCAATTAAGGTGCTGCATTAATGTCTGAAATATCGACAAGGTTTTTGAAACAAAAATAAAATAGTCTTTCGTCTTAGGAATGACAAAAAATGTGCGTGATAATAAATTACATTTATGAATTAAAATTACATTTATGAATTTGTAAAAAACATTTTTTACAAAACATATTTCAATTCTAAGTTAGCGAGCAATAAAAAATAGGGATGCGTCTTGCTAACTACTGCTAAGTTAAAAGATCAACCAAACATATCAAACAAAGTTTGATACGTTTGAATCTATATGTTGCTATTCGCTTATTTTTAGAGCGGTTTTTATAAAAATAGATGAAAGCGAGTTAAAACAGACTAATAGAGTGTAACAGGCTGATAAAGGAGACTGTACGGCGAAAATAGACGCTTTCTATTGTGCTATTACTATCTTAGTGGTGGCGGTCGTTCCAATCGCGTCCTCAATATAGCGCCGTTCCTCAGCGCTGATGCGCGGATGCTGCGACGGCGAGTCGAACACCAGCAGGAACCATACCGCGCTCCATATAATGCCGATTGCGCCGGTCACGTAGAAGACCGACTCCCAGCCGAGCGAGGCGATGAGGAATCCGCACATCGGCATGGTTATCGCGGCTCCGAGCGATGAGGCTGCAAGTAACGATGCAATTTATAGCGCGGCGATTGATGACCGCGCATCCGCGATCATAAAGCGGCCGCGTCTATCTCGCATATATATATAGTACGTATCACATTTTTCAAAGAAGACTCGAACGAAAGATTACGGCAGCGGCTTTATGCGATATGGTGTCGCGATCGCGCGGCAAATTGAATCGTGATCATTTACCCATCATGTTAGAGACGAATTTGCTACGCTCCGTCGGTGGAATCCATCGAGCAGTCATTGGCTGCATGGCAGGCCAGGTGGCACCCTGATTTTTGAACGAATTGATTTTTGAGAGATTAATCGTGCGATCGTTTGCAGTCATGCATAATCGTGCGTAAATATTTATCGATAACTGAATTTGCTTTACATAAAAAAGAAAGGAGAGACGGACGCTCGATAGATTCAGATGTCAGAATTTCACCCGTGAAATCACTCTCACGAAATGGACGCGCACATTTATCAGTGATCACAGTTAAAAGTAACAGACGAAAAATAGCGGCGTACAAGCATGAATCCCAGTATGCCTCGCGACGCGGCGATTGTAGCGTAGCCGAAGGTGGCTGCCAGCGGCGTCAGCAGGGTGATGAAACTCGAAACCAACATGCTGTAGCCGAAGACCCGTCTCGTGCCGATGATCTCCGCGAGTCGTCCGCCCGGTAATTCCGTGCAGATGTAACCCCAGAAGAAGCTACCCATGATCATGTTCACCTCGTACTCGTCCCATGGATATTTCGTCTGTTCTCGTTCCTCCTGAAGAGGTGAAATCGAAAATTCGCGGGAGTGGATTCGGGAAAGGAAGTATCTCGAAGTTGTTTAGAAAATGAAGTTCTACGGTTTAATCTCGGTGATCAACAAAGATAAGAAGAAATAATGATTTTGATTAAAGCGAAATCAATTTTTGCCAATTTATAATCAAGATCACGATTTTCGAATAGTATGAATAATTGTCCGGTAGATTTCTCGATGAGCGAAGGTAGAGCGTGCGCCTAAACGAAAAGTTCAAACACGATGTGTTTACTGTGTGCGATCACCGAGGTCATTAACCGTATAAGTTCGGGTTTATACAAGTCTTAACGAACCAAGTGCCACTGTGGGGACGCTCTTACGAACGTGGTGCCATTGTTCGTCTCGTTAACTCTATTACCGGCAACGTTGATCGGACTTGTCGATGTGAGATCGCTTGTCATCGTCGCTCGGGAAAAGCATTCATTCACCAACGATTTGTTGGAATGCGAATGTTGACTGCTACTGTTGCTCGGTATCACCATCGAGACGATTGCTATTGTCAGATTTACGCGCAGCATGTAATTCAGCATAAATCCGAGAATCACCATGATGTTCAATACGTGCCTGCATGAGAGGCGATCTGAAAATGCATTAGTAGTCATTCATCTTATGACTCGAAATCGGTAGGTTTTTGTGAAAGCAATCCTTTCTTATTATGAATTGTGGAATCAAATATCTATATTTTTGGTAACACAAAATAAAATATACACATTATAATATTTTGTATATTATATACCATATAATAATAAGGAAAAAAATATATAAATAAAAAAAAAATTATATATAAACGCACGATGACTATTAATATAAAATAATTTGCTTATGATGGATTATGTTTACAAAGATTCAGAAATAATATTTATCTCGATTTCCACGTGTATCTTATGTTTGTACTATTAGTCACGTTTATTTAATCTTATTTACATTAACATTGTTTCGTCTGACTACTCTACGATCTTTATTTATTACATATTTCTTATCGACGAAGCATGCTTGTTAAAAACAAGAGAGGACGTTAAACGCATATATATGTGAATAACAAGTGGTCTGCGTTACGTTTCTCAAGTATCATAAACAATTTTTACGTAACCTAACCACGCAATCCACGTGATAATATATATTTTCGTTCGGTCCATTATCGATTTCAGCATGCCACGCTATCGTGGCTCATCTCGAGGTCATCATTGGAAATCCCGGATGTTTAAACGATCGCGCGCGATCGAGACCTTGTACTTCTTGCTGGTCGTAGCATTATACGTCGCATTATCGTAGTCCAAATTTCGAATTGCTATGCAGCTATGCAAATCGGAATATGTTTTTTGCTTGGAACTAGATATACAGGATATTCAAATTTAAAGCGATTATTTAAAAATATTTTGATTTACGTCTCGTCTAGCCGCGTCTGCTTCGCTTTGACGAGTCATCATATACATATATCGTCGGACCTCGGCCGTGAGCGACGGTCGACCATTTCCCTGTTGGCAGGTCGCCGAAATTATTTCAAGAATGAAGTGTGTGGGCCAACTTTCCCTTCTTTTCCCTTGTTTGCGCGCATTTCTCGCGATTTTGCAAGGAGAAACGTGGGGTGTAGCTCGAGATTTCGCGAAGTATTACGTCAATGGTTCGAACGAGTTTAAAAGCTCGAAACAAAACGGGCAAGTCCATATTTAATTGCGATGTAAACGGGCGCACCTCGTCCCCGATATTAATAGTCCGTTAAGCATTAAGTCGCCTTGGATCGTTTGTCTTGCACGTACATACTATGCCATACTTATGCCATACTTATGGTATTCAAAGTCGACTAGTTACTTTGCTTATCGCGAATTCGCGTTCGAGGTTATCGCCGATGTATTCGATGCTCTAATATACACACAATGAATCACCGTGTTTTTGCATCAAGTCACCGCTTACGGGCAAATCAAATTCTTCTAATGACGATTTCTTTGGCTAAATTGAAATTGATGATTATTTGATTAATTTTTCTTCAAACGTAAATGACGAGCGTTCTGTAATCTTCGAGTAATCGTCGGTTAAAGTAATCGATTGAATAATCATCGATTGAAGAAATAAGGTTTGATATAATAGAATCATAATCATAAGTTAATCTCAACTGGACTTTACTTCGACAAATTATTAACTTGATTTTTATAAAACTAATGACGAATTGCTAAAAGTTCAGGGTTAAAAAGGCGCTTCTTACGTCAATTTGTTCTAACATTCTCGGCTTTGACGCATTTAAATATTACAACAGCAAAGCGCGAGCCAAGCGACAAATAAGTCGAGCTTCGTTGCATAATCGCAACGCACGTGCTTGTTTTCAACGACGAAAGTAAGTGGTCATCTATCTGCGGGCAATTAAGATTTTTCAGATTTAAGTGGTATGCAAACGCACATGCAAAAAAGAAAGAAAATTCGGCACGGACAATTTGTGAATTGAGTATGCATTTGTCCGCGCTGGCTCTGTTGCTGTTGTTGATGTAAAATCGTGCTACTTTATAAGCACTGTACCTGATGTAACCGTGACCGTGAGGAAGGTCGAATGAAACTGCAGGCATTCTTATCGTGGGGAAATAGTGTGTGATTCATATCGGCCAATTTCAGCGATTCTATTCGAACATTCGTTAAAGCCATTTCGTTTTTCACATTTTTACATGCGACTCGTTGAATTTCGAATTGAATACTAATCATTTTCCATAGTTGTATGTTACGGTTGTATGCTATAGTTCTCAGCTGTATTTGATTCGAATAAAAAAATGTGCAGTTGAAAGAAAAAATTTAATTATTTTGTAATAGTCTCTGTACTTATGCAGAAAACAAGTGTTTTTATCTATGTTAAAATAATTGCAATTCTTCCAAGATCGTTTTTATTTGCGTTTCCAGTTAACGCACAATCATGCTCTCATTAAACGAAGAAATTTGCATTTCTATTGACATATAGACATTATCTCATTCCGCGTCATACGAGAAAATGTTATTATTAATTATTCATAGCGATACCAATTAAAAATAATTGCTCTTATTTATTATTTTTATTTTCAATTGATCTACGTGTATATATTAGCTCTCGTTCAGCTTATGCTGATGTGAATTTTTTCTTCCTATTCAATCTAAACAGTCGATTGAACGTTTTAGCGTATTAGCCATACTTGAGATTTGATCTTATTAGCCATATGACACTTTTTAGTTTAGCGTTTTGATTTTACGTACGCTCTTCGTGTATTTGCAATTACAAAGAGTGAAATTGTAGATGTAATTCGAAACTATGGGAGCGAAGTGCTCATTTAAAAGTCCAATCTGACTGATAATAATGGCACTCTCACGAACCGAGACCCGGTCCGCCTCGTACGTCGTGCTATCCACTTAAACGTTATTGTGACTATTACGCTCCCCGATCGTGTAACAACTGGGAGTTGGCCTTTTAAACTCAAAGGATACATCGTGTTTCTAGTATTTTAAATTTGTCAGTTTTTAGTACTCATTGATAACACATACGCATTCTGATAAAGCAACTTGCACTTTGCACGCGCATAAACTTGATGTTAAAAAAGTTTTCAAGTGAAATAGTACTCACATGCTAATTGCAGATAAATAAAATTTTAATTACTTTATTTATTTATTATAGTTCTTTATTTATTTATTATAGTACTTTATTTATTTATTATAGTTATTATAGTTATTTATTATAGTTTATTATAGTTCAACATAATTAATCGAATTCGCTTATTAATTAATTTTAATCATTATTTATTATAATTCATTCAAATAATTCATTCAAATAATATTCATTATATAGATAAATTCTAATGAATACTTAATTATTATTAGATGAGTCAATCAAAATAATGTTAGAAATTAATACAGAAAATTACAATTTGTTATTGAAAATAATCGCAAAAAAATGTGAAAAAATAATGATTTTAATTAATTATAATAAATAATGTAATGCCAATATTATTCATTAACATTTTATTTAAATAATAATATAGCCTTCTTTTGAATTATAACTAGCAATTCTGTTATTTCATTGGCTTTTATAAATTTGTGTAGAACTATGTTAATGTTGATTGCACATCATTTTGCGTTGGTATTGCGGGGTCAATCGTGAACGGTGCTTGGCGCCGCTAATCATAGTTTTTATGGCTAGCTTTATACTTCATCGTCAAGCCGGCTTGACTCGAACGTAGGGTCATATCGTCGATGACCTCGATATCATGACACTGGTTTTAACAGCCGGAAAAGTTGGCGGTGCGACATAATTTAATCAGTAGGAAACTAACCCTTGTGTTCGTGCAACCGGATTGAAATATTTTTAAATCCGTTTTTTTATTCAGTTTATTTTAAAAGAGATATATTACTTTGATTTACTTAATTTACTTAATTTACTTGAAAAAGATACAACTGATTGAAAATCATAAAAGTATCGTCTGATTAGCCGATTTTTTGCGCGGTGAGAATATTGACAGCTAATAAATATTTTTAAATTGCAAACGACGCACAAAGTACGTCAACGCAAATATTGAAGTGTTAAACTTTGTTTCCTCTTTGAAAAAAATTCTCGATCTTTTAAAGAATTAATTAAGCGAAACCTTAATCGCGACCTTCACCCAGAACTCAGTGCACATTTTCCCGCAAGCTATTTATATCGAGTGTGTCGTTTCGTCGTTTTGCGGAGCTTGAAACACATAGTACGCCCGCGTGCCTCATCGAAACCGAGTTTGATGACTCGCAGCTTTAATAATCGAAAAGCATTGATTCGAGTCAAGATGCGGGTTTAACGACGCAAGCGGTGTTATCAACAAACGCCGTTGCACAAATTCGCATTCCATTGGTTGAAGATTAGAGGCTGGTACGTTAACATGTGGACTATGAGCGACTATTAATATGCGTCTGCTTTTTATCGATAATACGCGAACGTTGCCGATGACACGTGTTAACCCCGGCAGCACTGGGGCGAGGGTTCGGGGCAGAAAGTGGCCAGGAATTTTCAATCGTGATAAACAGCGCTCATACCTCATGGTAACTTCATTCAGAGATTATAGATAATGCGCACAATCATTTCCTCTATTCATTTATGCTAGATGCCAGATTAGTAACGCGTTTTAATGTCTTTCCATTTTAGAAATGCATTTTCTTATACTTTATACTTAACATTTCATTAATAATATATCAGTAACGATAATAATCATATACGTGAGATGTTTTCCGATAAAAGATATTTTTTTGCACTATTACGTTTTGGTATTGTAGCGCTGAGAAATATATGTGTGACATCTATTTTTTAGGGTTGATATTCGTCAATTATTACACAGGAAAGATTTACAGGAAGTTGCCGTTTCTTATTAGTTTAAATCGCCGCCAACTTGAATTACACGGCTTCTTGACGAATCATTGCCTCTTCCCGTAATGAAGAATATATTAACGCCTAAGCGGAAGCCGCATTCATTGCCGCCCATCGTCAGGCACCTACACTTAAGCATTGTCTACATTTGATTTTTTTTCAAAAAGTTCGCGTTCTTCTAGGGAGAAAATTTCTTATTATTTTAAATATTATTACACATTGACACAATAATTAAGATAAATGTTACAAAACAATAATTAAGATAAATGTTACAAAACAATAATTAAGATAAATGTTACAAAACAATAATTAAGATAAATGTTACAAAACAAATGTAGAAGTGGTTTAAGCTGATGGTATTTGTCTTGATGTATACGCCTCGTTGGCTTATAATATAAATTTACATCTTAATCACGTACAATCTTATCCTAATAAAAAAAATAAACAATTTCTAAAAGAATCAGAGTATGTGAAAAATTATACTTAGTATTCGCGTATTATTTTATAAAAAAGTTTTGTCTAAAATGCAAAGTTAAAAATATGTCAATACTGTTCTTAGGAGTTGAAAAAAGGCAACGGGGATGCCACTTTTTTAAAGACCAATTTATTATACGTAATGCTTACGTGCAAAAATTGAAAACAAATTTAAGGAACTCCTACTGTTTCCATATGCAGAAAAAAACAAAATAATTTTATCAATTAAGTATTTTAATAATTAAAATTTCAATGTATCGAAATACTTCTTATCCACCAGCTTCAAATAAATTTAAAGCTTATAATTTTAATAAATGTTTTGAAAAATTTCTGTTTTGAAAAAGTTCAAAAATAGTTTCTAAAAATATTTTCTGTTTTGAAAAAGTTCAACAATAGTTTCTAAAAATATTTTTAAACAACTTTATATGTTTAATTTTAGTATCTATATATAGTGTCTACTATACCATATATAGTGTCTACTTAGTATCTACATATTGTAATGTGTTTTTCTCTGATAATAATCGAAGCTTAACATCGAAGTTGAATGTGAAAGCATGGGAAGCATGTAACTGTTTATTTTGATACATTACATAGAATCTGTATCCTACATCAACAAGACTTGGGTCAAGCAACATTCCAGAACTAAGATCGCTTACCCTCCTCTTTCAATTTTAAAGTTTCCATTTCTCTTTTAAATTAATTACACTTAATTTGGAAACAATTATTTTAAATATTGTATCAACTTGTAGCGTAATATTTAAAATTTCTTTTTACTGCATTCCTTACGTTCGTTTATAACAATTATTTTAAATTACTATGCACATGTTTACACACACACCGACACACTTCATATTTTTATTTGTATTATCCTGACATAAATGCGCATTTGCAATTGTTTTTAAATAATGAATGCTTCTAATTTAATATCTATCAATTCATATATATGTCAATGTCGATTTACCTAGCGCGCTGCGATTTGATGCCATTCCACCGATGTATTATGATGTATGATGATCACAATCCAGACACGCTCGCAGTAGAAACGAGTGTCAACTGGTTCTCTCGTCCTTCAGCTTCAAAGCACTTCTTCGCAAATTAACTCACTTTTCTCTTACTTTGTTACTTTCTCTATTACTTTTACACGGTGCAGATTAATATTTCCCCCAAATGCAGCTTTTCATCTCCACGCGCGAACTGTCAGATCACCGGAAGGGTGCCTTGCATAAAGCTCCGATACCGGGTTGACTTTCGGAAAAGCCTGTTTTCTGCGCGAGCTTTTTCGTAACTCGATTGCTTGTTCGTTCGTTCCTCGCGCTCTGTGTGTTCCGTTCTAAACGCTGCCAAAAGTCTTGCCGGCAAATCGCCGCGCTGACTGCTACCCACCGCTCTGAAGACGAAGACTAAAAGGCGGCGAAGAGAAGGCTCGTCTATAACGTCAGCATTGCAACACCGACATCTTCCGCGGACCGCGTTATTCTCCCGCTTCGCTTGGTTTCGTTGTAACGTTTCTCTGTGTCGTAATGAAGGCTGCGCGTGACGAAGTGACGAGGTGGTAGAGGCAGAAGGAAAGAGAGAGAGAAAGAGAGAGAAAGAGGGGCATGGCCACGCACGTCATCAAGCATACGTGCCTGTGTACAATGACGCGCTTTGTTCGCCGCATCGAAGAGAAGACGCGCCCCACTGCGAACGGCTTTTCCTACCCCCGTATCATCTATCTACTCTTTGACGAGGGGACGGAGGGGTAGATGAAAAGGAATGTGGAACATGAAACGATGAGAAATGCTTTTCTGAAAAGAAGACATTGCAAGAAAATTGAGATTGGAAAATTGAACTTTTGTAAACCTTCATTCAATTTAATTAACTAATAACGTGAAACAATAATCAGCTAGCCATAATTTTGTATAACTTGAAGAAATCGTTAAATTTAACCATTGATTATTATCTATATGGAAAATCATTGAAAATGTTAATTATTAATTCTAGACACATGCGGAATTATTAGTTATGTTAGATAGTATAATTAAGAGGTAGTATAATTCCATGCTTAAAATATTTCGTTATCATTGTAGGTTCAGGTTAGGCGATAGTAGAGTTGAGAAGTTAGTATAATTCCATGTTAAAATATCTCGTAATAGTTTCTCGTTCCGTCATTTCACGAGGAGATAAATCTTTCCGAAGCAACAGAAGATAATTGTTGTCCGAGCTAGACATGTGTAATGCGGCTCGGCGTTATCGTGACGTTGTAGTGATTAATCAACGTCAGAATTAATTCGCTGATCTATCTGCGTCGTAATGACTGTAATTGGCAGTTACCAGTTATGTTTAGTGCGCTACTAATGCTCTCTACGATCAATTAAACTTAAAATTATTAACTGTTGCTTCGATCATAGATTCTGTCGAGGAATTTTTACAAATTTTTCTTTTTCGTGATTTTAGATATGAAATTTTTGTAGTAAATAAAAAAACCAGAAATTTACTGTTCTAACTTTGTAACGGTAGGTTTAAAATTAATCGACTAACGATAACAAGGTTACATAAAGTTTTATAATGCAAACAAAATGATAAGACTTATTCATATGTACACATATCGCATTTGGTTTTACATAAATTCAAGACACGACAATTCCTTACGTAATTACAAATAAATTTCTCGTCTTTTTCGATGCACTTTATCGAATGCTCGCAATATTCGTTGCAAACTATAATTTAGTAAAATATGTTTGCAAAAGTCAATTTTTTCCTATTCATGTCGTCAATTTTTCTAAATCTTTTTAGATATTAGAAAAATGGAAAAAAATTAGAGATAGAAATATCTCTTAAACTACTCCATTTCGTCATCAAACTCTTAAGAAAGATATGTAGAAAAATATGTATATTCGAAATATTTCAATGCTAATCACGTGAAAAGATACTTGCGAGGACATTCTCTCTGTAAAACACTCTTCATCGGTATATAAAAATATCCTTTTAATTCATTTTTAGAGAGTATTAATACCAGTACGTGCTAGTCTTAAAGAGTATTGAACACGCTTCGTGTTGTAAATTCCGTGAACCATTTTATATATTTCAACTAGCAAGAAATAGTTCCTTTTCGCATGTAAACTTCGTTTATAGAGATTTCATAGTACATAGACTCTCACGCGCATAATGATTAAACGCGATACTCGCATTACATGCATGCGTCTCTTTCGAAAAAACGGAAAAAGCGTACGTAATGCTCGACGATATTAATCAAGGATATTGAGTTTGCTATTGGTCTTTCTTAATTGCGCTCGCCAAGGTATAATTTGGCCATCATCGGAATCGTCCTTGGTTGGATCGTCTCGTTTCTCATCGGTTTCGATCTTTTCTTCTTTCTTGGTGACACATGATACCGCCACCGGCGAAGCGTCCCTCTTTGGCTTCACCGTTGTTGTTTCGAATTTTGACGAAGACAAATTCGTAGCCACGGACGCCTGTGTATGGTTCAGTCTGTAAATTGATATTACGTTACGTTAAAAACATTTGCTCCGTTATGTTATAAATTAATGAATGATAAAGCAAATTGCATAAAAATATAACTAATATATTAAAAGACACTAAAAAATACGTAGAAATAGGAAAGAAAATTCTCAATATTTCTTCACTCAACAAGTATTCTGATAATAGCATATCTCTCTACGTACTCGACAAAAATATCGGCTATCAAATTTGACAGCTTAATCTTTTAATTTACATATATATTATTATGCACAGGCAGCGTATTTTGCATGTAACACAAGGCGGAGAAGTTTAAGTTCAATTACGACAAGGGGCAATTGTAATACTTGCGATAATTCGAGCACTTAGCTCCCTACATATGCTAGAAGCAAGCAGAGTTAATTCTGCAAAATAATACGGAGTGAATCTCTTCTGCGTAATGTCGCTGTCCGATTTAATTGTTGCTATATATTATTAGACATGTTTTATATATATTGCCGTCATCCGTTCTAATTAATTCCAGCTTTCTCCACTTGATTAGAAGTTAATTAATCTTACCTCTTTTCCTCATTATCTTTTTTGGCGAGAAGCTGCCGCTTCCATGGCGGAATCGCTTTCTGCCGCCTCTCCTCATTTTCTCGCGCTATTTGCTCCTCGAGTTCCTTCTTCGCACGTTCTGCGGCTTTTCGTGCTAGCATTTGCCGCTTCCAGATTGGTATCACGTTCCCCGAACTATCTTTCTCCGGAATCTACACCGGAAAGTCAGTGAACTTGAATCTCAAATTAAATTTCCAACCAAATAAAGAAAGAACGGTTCCGAAAAAATTAAACAATTGTCTGGAAGATTATTTTCATGATTTTTTAAATATAGATTTTTCTGAAAAGAATGCAAAGTAAATGCTTACTTGATCAACAAATTTCGTAACGCTGAATGCTTTGTTGATCTCCGACATGAGGTTCTGCTCCTGAGTTTTCTCGACCTGCGCCCTTTCCACTTTCAGTTTCTTGATGCCGGGAATATCCTTAGTGCGCTTCAATTCGGCGATCAGATCCGTCTTTTGCACGAAGAACGGCTCCGAGACTAAGGTCAACAATTTTATTGAAATTTATCTGTCATTTCATTTCCGAATTTTAAACAATTTCGCGTAGTTTGAAGATTCGTTATGTTTTATTACAAAAATGTATTTCTGAATAAAACAGAGTAATCAGTAGAATATTAGCGAGTATATGGTATAAAAAGTTGCAGATTAGAATCTTCGGGAGGGCAGTAAAATCTGAAGCCTCGCGTGTTCGTCCGCAAAGGCGTAAAATTATTTGTGTATGCGTATCGTGGCATAACTTACCGTTAGTCATGGATACGCTGCGAGGAGGCGGAGCGGAGAACGTCTTGGTGGCATTCATCTTCGCGCCGGTCCGTCGCAGCTGGATACTCGTGAGGTCCTGAATGCTAATCGTAGCCAAAGGTTGCGGGGTCTTGGAGCTTTCGGACTCGTTGCCGGCGCCGGCGATGCCCGAGGCCTGATTTCCTCCTCGTGCTCGCTGCTGCAAGGGAGACAACGGCGGCGGCGGGGGGCCCGTAGGAGACCCCTTGGCCTCGTCGCTGCTCCTCCGCGCCCCCTCCTCGTCCGCCTCCTCCTCTTCGCCCTGCTCCGAATTCCGACCCTGAATGTCCAAGTTGTCCACTGACCTGCGAATGCAATTTTCGCATCGTCACGCGAGCAGAAAATTTGAAAATGGTGCTACTCGAATATCAATTTGTTCGCTCGAATAAGACAGATTCGAAAACAGAGCTTTCAAATTTGTCATTTGTTGGATCTTACATTTTTATAATGCATCTGAAAGTTTTAGGCGGTAGGCCTGTTGCTTGAACCGTGGAACAAATTTTACCGATCATTATTTATCAAATTTATTATATTTACTAAATTTGGAAGGAAGTGTCAATGTTTTGAGCACAAAGATTAAACTGATGAATCACAGTCATAAATATAAATAACAGTATTAAACGTTTATCACTTTGCGATCAAATATTTAAACTCACTTCTCAAGCGACGCATAAATATACACACATAAAGCCTTTGTTTATTTAGACAATTTTGAAGTTAATTTAATTGAAAACAACGGAGAATAATGATTGCCTCCCGGATCCGCTGACAGCCGCGACATTCCACCCGCAAAAGACCATAAAGCAAAGACAGATAAATAACATGTAACGGAAAGGACACTGACCTCGCTTTCGACAGACTGTTTTTCGACGACACCTTGCATATACTCTTCAGGTACTCCGACGGCTTGAGCAGGGTGTTGGAGTCCGCGTTAGCGAACTTGGGCGGTATGAACGGCAGCACCATGTGCCTGTTTACCAGGTGGGACGCCTGGCTCGCTTTAATTTCGTCCGCGTCCACCGGTATACTGGCGGGAGGCTGCACTTCCGGCTGCTGCTGATGCTCGCCGGAGGATGATACGTCGGACTTGTTGGTCGCTGTTCCGAGACCGTCGACGTTAAAGAAAGAAAGATAGAAACGAACGGAGAGATGGAGAAAAGGAGGGAGAGAGAATTGGAGAGGTAGGGTAAAAGAGGTGGGCAAGGAGAGAAAAAGAGAGAGAGAGAGAGAGAGGGTTCTTGTTATATCCTCTAGCGTTGGATGATGGTCGTTACCGGCGGGCAAGTGAAATCTGGGTAAGTATATTATATGCCCGGTGAGCACCATGGTCTAGTAAGTGAGGCTACCTCTGCCGAGTATGATCCGCTAACAGTTTAATTAAAGCTCGAGGCGCGCGTGCAGCCCAAATCGAGATCGGCTGGACGGACTCTCCCTCCCCTCTGCCTGATCGCGAGGCGACGAGCTGGCCCAATTAGGGCCGCCGCGCGGATTAACATCTGCGAATTAATTTGCAGATGTTCTCTCTCCGATTGTAATTGCCGGTCGTCGCCGTTGATTCTGCTAATTGTCTGCCGTGAAACGGCACCGCGACGACATGTGCACGCGCGTGAGGAGCGCGCCGAAAATGTAGGCGTAATTCGCGCGATGCAACACGCTCGGCCGACCGTCGCGCAATTACCGGTGTGATAAAAATACGGCGGCGGTTTGTGGATCTTACAACATCAAGTTGCGGTACTTCCTGATTCTTTCTGACAAAATCCACGGTTGACTTTTCTTTCCGGCGAGAATTGTCTAATTAGCGCAGATAATTGAGTTACGGTGTTGCGAAATGTTAGCTTAAACTTGACGATCTATTTTATAAGTATTTCGTAAGACAAATTAACTTATTAAGTGAAACTTGTCGAAGAACCGCTGAAATATTAGAATACAATAGCTTCGCATTGACTGGAAATCATTAAACGCGGACTAGCAATAAACCTGATTATACGCGACGTGATCTCTCGAGATGAGACTTCGGCACAAATAGTCTTTCTCGCTTTAAACATGAGAATTTCTTCGCAATTATTGCAAATAAAACGAAATTATCTATAATCAATATGTTCTCTTAATCCGCGTTTATAATGTTTCGTGACTAGCGCGCCTATCCTGAATCTCAGATCTTTCGAATATCGGCGATATTGCCGATTGGCGAGTAATCGATTTAATTCGAACGCGTTTTTCGCAATGCACGGAAATGTCAGGCGAATGAACTGCGCAAAGTTGAGCTGCAACTTTCACGTTCGCGGTAATTTTGCACGGGAGCGAAAGGACTTCGAAGAGGAAGAGAATGCCAAATGTAATTTCTCACCGGAGGATTCGCTTCTTCCATCCTGGCCGTTTCCTCGCGCGTCTTTCTTGTCGGCGGCAGCATCTGCGTTCGGCTTGGCGTTCACTACGACGACCACCACGTCGTCGTCTTTGTCGGGCGGTAACGGCGGCGGCGGCGGCGGCGGCGGTTTTGAGAGACTAGAAAACGAATATCTCGATTCGGATGTGATACTCGTGAAAGTATTAAGTGATATGATTGTTGGAAAATTATCGACTGATCGATGTGATCAAAAGTATAAACAAAATTGATAATTTTTATTAAGAATAATGCTTGAGCGCGAACAATGAACTTCTGCTTTTCTTTTCTCTTTCATGTGCTAGTGAAACTAGACAATGTATTTTTTATGAAGATAAAAAGTAAGCAAGTAAGTGTAAAGTTTTATTACAGCAGTTGGCAATCTTATATCTAATAGTCTTGTATCTAATAACGGTATTGAGATCTAATATCTAATTATAGGCAATAATAGTAGTAAAAAGTTCGCGGGACAAAAACATGGGGATTGATGGAAATAACTTTTGTCAGCTTTATAAAAACAAGCGAACAATCGTAATAAGAGATATGAGCACTTGATGAAAGACAGTAATGATAAATGAAGATGAGTGAAGACGTAGAAAGTTGAGACAAGAAAAATAATGAAGGTGTGTCTACTTTACTTCGAAAGCAACTTCTTCAATCAAAAGAGAAAGTTTTTTATTCTCGCGGGGTCCTTTCTGGGGTTCACATTCATTGACCTAATAGCTCACTCGCTTGTCCGAGCGAGTCGGATCCGGATTGTCATCGCGATTATCCACATTCGTTTTGGCGCGATCGAAGACGACTGCCGGCAGGAAAGCGGCTATCTTCCGCCCCTATAACGCGGCATGCATTATCCTATATGATATCCGAAGCGGAGCGGATGGCAAAATCGACGGCGAAAAGGAACGGACGTGAGGCGAATCGCGCGAAGTAGCGAACAATACTGCCGCTCGATCGACTTTCAATTGATCTTTCCTTTTTCTCTTATTAGCGCGGTTAAACCCAAGTCTCGATCCGGTATCGATCCGCCCTACTTACCTAGGTCCGCCGTTGCCGCTTGTACGGATTTCCTTTTCACTTTCCACCTGCGTGCTGGAGGAGTCCTTCCTCTCTGCGAATCAAAACAATATTGCGAATATTCGTCAATCGCGTTCTTTTTCGCGAATCTCGAATTAATCATCGATCAAAAGTGGATCTCGTTATCTTTCGTGGAAAATCGGCCAATATATATTAATACAATTTTAATATTCTTTGAATACGTCACACGATCTTTCACTTTGCGTTGCACAATAAGCTGCATTTAAAAGTTGAAACAAATTTTATTTCTTTCTTAAAAAATATATGTTAATTGTAAATCAATATTTATACTAGTTTTATTTGTTTATGCGTAATAGATTCTTTGACATAAAAGGAAGAAAAAGTAGAAAGCACGGTAAAAATTTGAAAAAATCCCACATGTTCCTCGAAATTATTAAGCATCTTTGCATTCCGGCGTTACAGTCACTCCGGAAATATGCTTGATATTTTGTTTCACATACCATGCGATGCTTCCGCGTTTGTCCTGGCCGTCGGCCTGCTAATTCGCTCGTTGCTGCTGTGTCGCGACAAGGACGGCGTGGACGTTGTCGAGGATAGACCGTGGATTTCGCTGCTCATGTTTGAGGACTCGCTGGCGCTGCTGGATCGGCTGTATCGCCTATCGGTTTTTCGGGAACGACTGAAACGTCAGGAACGGTCTATCGACGTACCGCGAACACGCGATCGAGATTGCCGGGAATCGAGTAATTTAATCAACTCGCGATTGCACATGCGATTGCTTATCTGCGAGATAAACGACTTTCTTTCCGCAAAGAAGATAGCGATATATCATTGTTCCTCGTTTGCGCAAACGCGTCGTTCGCGAACAGCCGTCCCTTTGCAACTAAATGGCTCCTTTGTGATAAAATCAATTTTAATAATACGGCCATGTGTCGTTTTAGATGTTGATACTGTTGTACACCTGTTTTCATGGTCGCTTTATAGTGACTGATATTTTGTTATGCTGCGCTCATCAAGTTCTCTCTTTACAAGTTCGTCACGCGATTCGTGGTATCGAGAACAGTGTTAATAATATCTATCTGTGTTAACGAAGCATGTTTACCTTGCAAGACAGTTTCTTATACGAAACAATTTTTGTAAGACGAAAAGATAAATATTTTTTTCTTTTTTAATTCTATAAATAGTTTCATGCTATTTTATAACGTATGCTTCTTCTGGAGCGGCTAATTTAACTTTAATTCGACAATAGTGTCCTCTTTTTGGAGAACTTGAAAACACAAGTTTGAATTATTTTTCCCAATTTAAGAGAAGCGAGTGAAGCACTGGATCTCCAAATTTGACAAACTTATATTTACCTGCTGTCGGAGACATTGTCCGTCGGCTTTTTACGCGACGACGAGCCCACGCTGCCCGTTTCCTCTTGCCTCACGCAGATCTGCTCGTAAGCGTGCTCTGCAGGTTCCCTTGCGATCTCGGAGCGGGCCGCGTGTCCGTTGCCGGGATGCGTTCGGCCGAATCCGTTGTTGTTGATGTGCACGTCCACTTTCACTGAAAGTCAAAGCCTTGTTCGGAATATACGCATCGCACACAAGAAAACGCAGGCGAAATGTGCAGGTGTTTTTCACGCGAAAACATCCCTGGAAATTAGTTTTACCAATTTTGACGCGTACAAGATTGGTACTTAATCGATGATTTCATGGAAAAATAATTTTTACGAAATGGAATTTGTATGAAAGACATACTTAATTTTTTATATCATTTTAGCTTTAATGTTTTTTCTTCATTATATTAGCAAATTTGCCTCGATTAATCCGTTGATTGCGCTTCTTACTTATTAAGAGCCGCTGCACTGTAACGGCTTAACGGTATCCGCGGTAAATCGCGCGCGAGTCTTTAACCTGGTTTCGCGGAGCGCGCGTGTAGTTTGCGACGATATAGGTTTTTTCCATGACAATTATTTAAGTGTCTTTCCTTCTTCTTTTGCCTTAAGATGTGCAATATTTTGTGTACATTACGTGTCGCCCATAAAACTAGCGAAGAAACTTCATCGCTCGTAAAGTAAAACGAATGAAAAGGACGAATTAAGTTTTCATACATTGGGTGTCTTAAAATGGTAATTTACGCGCAATCTCAAAATTTAATAGCTGAGTGACATTTGTGAGCGAAAACGTGCATCCTAGTTTCTCGAAAATTAGATGTAATACATTGGTGATTTATGAAACGGAAGCAATGAAAGCAGATGGTCTCAGCGTTGCTTAATCAGATGCAAATCTTTGTAAATATCTGAGAAGAGCGAAAGAGAGACAGAGAGATCGACAATACCGGGTGCGAATTGAGGTCGCCCTGAAGCTACAACAGTTGTTGAGAGCAACATAACATACAGAGTGTCGAAATATTACTGTCGCGACTCATTTTGTTTACGAATAATTTGATTGACGAAATCTTTTCTTTTTTGAAAAGTCACACGATATATTTTTTCGATATCTTTAAACTTTCATATTTAATGTTTCAATGATCAATTTTTAAAAATTAAGATCCTGCTAAATACGATCACTGTTTAATTAATTAATCAATAATAAATAACATGAATTTTATAATTTATGACTTGTAAATTTGATTTAATTGCCATTTGGGCAAAGCCCCTTCACTTTCAACAACTGTCGTCGGTGTTTTTCCTGAACACCGTGTGTATTACGCGTTATAACGTAGCCGTGAAGTATCTGGGACGTGCTACTTACCAGTCAGAGTCTCGTCTTTCCTCTCTGCCACATGACGCTGCTCCGCCGCGACGCCGTTCCGCGGCTTCTCGGCGTCGCCGAACAGCCGTGTGATCCTGGTGTAAACGAGATCGTGCGGGCTGTGCAGGTAGAAGGACTCGGTCGAGTCTTTCGGCTTCGGCGGCTCACCGATGTATGCGCTCATGGGGTTTATATAAATCCCGTCCCGCGGTCGGGAGCCCGGCGGATGTAGGAAAAACGGCTCTTGGAACATGCTGCAGCCGCGTAACGAGCACTGCAAACACATTTCAGCAATTTAGAGATGCGAGAACCGACATTCACATTTTCTTTTATTTTAAAACGGAACTTTAAAAATTGTAAAAAATATTTTTCGAGATTATTTCGGTGTTGATGTCCAGTGCACGTGTTTTATAATATAAGGCTTTGCAAGTGAAATAATTCGGAAATAAAAAATTGATTAAATTTTGCATAAAGCAACGAGTTCAAAAATTCTATACACTTTTTTTATCGACACGTAATAATATATAATAATAGTGTGAATATCCAAGTACACGAAACCTAAACTAACCTTGTCGATGGAACTTGCGACGCAACTGCACGAGGTGGTGTCGCTCATGTGGCCCGAATAATCCGACCCGGAGCGATCCCTGGCCATATTCGGGGTGACATTAGGAGGAGGAAGCTTGCCGGTCTCCTGCTGCATTCCAGGATAAACGGAAAACGATTAGAACCGTTTACCCGCGATCGGCATCGACCGCAGATCTATTAAATCGGAACGATCCTGATCCTGTCTGCGGAAAACCTGTCGCGGAAGCGCGATACCTCTTCCTTATTGCGAGATTAACACCGGCAGCGCTTAAATTTCTCTCTTTCTTTTTTCATTCCACGCCATTTTTCTTATCTCTTTCTCTCGTTTTCTCGAGTATATATACCGCAATCGATTGCACTTGTTGAACGCTATGATCGCGGGCTCGCGATAATCTCCGTTGCTTAATAGCGATTACCTAAAGTTGCGCAAAAGTCTGGGACTGACCTCGTTCGTGTTCACCAGAAGTGTTCACTTCGAGGGGAGAAGGAGGGGAGAAACGCCAATGATTTGGCGAACGTCGCGAGAATGTCGCTATTGTTGCAAGAGAATGTAATTATTTAGAGACCTTGCATATGTAAGCGGCCCGTAATAAAGCGGAGGAAAGTAGAAGCGCGCAAGGTCTCAATTAATGCTACTATGTGATTTTTCCATCAAGTCATGCTGGATTTAGTTTCTTTCTTGAAAAATAAGAAGTGAAAACGAATTAACATTTCATTATTCGCAGTATTGTATTATCGAGTATGTATAATTTTTACTACACACACACACACAATAAGTCATAACTCGATAAAATTATTACTTTCTATTTAACATATTAATTTCGACGGATCTGTGAAAAAACACATGTGCTGAATTTCTGATTTCACCGATTGCTCCAAATTAATAGTAAACGCTGTGATTTAATCAAAGCGATGATCAATCAGCGAGGTCGCGAAAGGAAAGCGTAATTAATCGACAGTTTCGTGTAATAGCAATAAAATACTTTGTTCCGCATTAATTTATTTCAACGCGACAAAAATTAATGATACTAAGTTGAATGTAATGAGTTGCACGAAGTGATAGCAAATTCTGATAAATGAGCAACGCGGAAAAGCAAGAAAAGCAGGTGTAGCAGGATTTTAAGACCCTGGCGGAACAATTTTACTTTCGTACGTTATCCGTCAGAAAGCGGAATTATTTTATAGCATTTTATTAGACTGACAGCCCGTTGGAGTGCTAATTACATTATACCGCACGCCGTCGGGCTTGTAACTCCCTTTCCGCATTATTCCGTATGCGTGGAAAACATGTACCGTTTCCCAGTCGCTCTCGTTTTATTAAAGGGAAACTGTGTGCCGACATAGCGCTAAATTTCGCATTCGCGCAGCCGATTAAGTCGACAAAATATTTAATTAAAAAGACAGATATTTTTTTACAGATATATTTTCTCGTTAGAATGAGTAAAATTTATTATCGAAATATTGTTTAAAGGAGAAAAATAATATTAATTAGAAAGAACGAATAAATGGTGAATTTCTTAGTTCCTCTTGTTGAGCTTATAATGCATTTAGCGTTGCGGACACATGTACGTCGCACTTATGTTGTTATGTAAATTTGTACGCGATGTACTTAACCGTGGCGCAATTGGGTCGCGTGACGAAAGAAGCCAACGAAAGAGGTATGCGCGATCGCATAAGAAGAGATTTGTCTATAATGTCGCGATAAAAGTGCGACAAATCTCGCCATGCTTGAGCATGCGGGAAAGTGATATTTAAATGATCGAGTACTCTAATTTCCGAACCGGCCGCGAAGAGAAATTCGCGCCTCGAGATCTCTCGCCTCATCATTCTGCTATCTAAATGCAGATCGATCAACTTCTCACAATTACCGTCCCACTAAGATTGCTGAAGAAATTCGTGCTATAAGTTTCAAAATAAAAAGTGTTTTTGCCGGATGGAAATATTTTGTGAGCTTGCGTTTTTAAAAATTAATGAGATGACATATAACGGAGTGGCTTTACACTCAGCTGAAATTTTGCGGAATTCTTGATTGAGATATCGCGTGAGACAAGATAACGTTACGGGTCTTTTTGCGAAGGTATGAAAATGTATCGTGACGGAGACTGCGATAAATCGTCGTGACAGCGCGATGTCACCGGTCCGTGATGGGCAACACCCCGGAAAAAATGTCCGTCCACGCGAGTCCTTTCCCCATGACGTGTATCTCGTTGCGTTACGCGCCAGCGATACGCTTTTCGCCTAACCGGGTGAAGGACGGAAGGTGGAAAAAATGAATTTATTTATACGCATCGCGGATTTTTAACCGTAGAATTTAGGCGACAAGTGAAATAAGCTTTTCGCAATTTGTCTTCAAATTAAAATTTTTGCCGTTAATGAGCTGCTCGGGCAACTGCAGGAATGAATCCTTCGCGTTGCTTGCGGTCAGACATGAATCTCTCTCCTCGATATCGATCAAATTGCTGCTGGTGTTTTAATAGCCGGTTCATTGCCCACCATAATTGCGAGTAACGTTTGACGCATTTTTCTTGCTCCTGGCTAAGCGACGGTTCTCCCGCTATACGTACGTTTACCGTAAATTATTGATCAAAGTAGGTGAGTTCGTGTGGGCGATGATGAACGTTAGAAAGCCCCGGATTTACAGTTGTTACATTTTTGTGGACGGATCAGTGGCTTTCGGACACGTATCAAATCAAATGTATCGGTCTTGAGAAAGTCGACAAAAAGTTCCTTCGTTTAATTTCACGTAAAAATGGTTTCATATAAAGATCAATTATCATGCTTATTACTGATATCAGTACATAAACTGTTGAAAATAAACTGCTCAAAAATGCTGAAAAATATTTTAAAAAATAGCTTTTATATATAGAAATAAATTAAGCTATTGCCCTTTTCTTAAAATAAATAATGGATAAAATAAAAAAAAATAAAAAATTGATTTAAAATAATGAAAAGAAGCCAAGTTAGGCTTAAAAATTTCCGGAATTATGCGTTTAACGGATAATAAATATTCCGTTATTTTATATTTTTTCGTGGACTGCACAATTTTATTTATTAGATGTAGCAATATTTTGCTTGTTGCTAATAACATGATTAAGATAATACTTTATCGTGGCATAGATCGCATTAACCTCGTTGTATTATTGGCTACGAACTACATCATGAACCGCCTTTCTTATCTTTGCGAACATATTTGTAGACGTTCAAGGCGACACGCGGAGAAAGATTCGAGTCTCGGCGTAGAACTGACCCGCGCAAGGTCATGCGACCCGCCACGCTGCAAAATGCGACTCATGCGATACCATCACGATTCCGTTTCATTTACGACATATGAATGACACATGCCAGTGACACGTGCCGATCAATTGAACGTAACAGCGAAATCGTGAATGAAAGTGTGCGTTTAAAAAAATATCTTTCACTGGATATAAGAAAATCTGCGGTAGAAAAAACTTTCACCAAAACTTCATTCTGAGTTTATCAAACAATCTCAAATTCGGAGAAAGCGCGTAATGTCTGTGGTATACTTTGCGTACTTTTAGCACACAATACAGTTCGCATCAAATATGTAAACTTGAACATTTTGAAATTAAGTCAAACGCATCTTGCATTTTATCTTTGACGTGAAATGAAAACGTGAAATCAAATCGCCATATGTTGTGCTAAATTTACGATAAAACGAATATGTCAAGGTTGCTGGCTTATTAAATTATAATAACCGAGGAAAATCTGACATTTGAACGGACTGCAATTAATCATTTTGGATTAATCCTGCAATCTTTTACTTCGACTCAACGCGAAGATCTCTTGCGTTAAATGCGTACTTCCTATTATACGCATGAACGTTCGCACCGCTCATTATGAGTGAAAAGTAGCAGCTATTAGATTTGCACGCAAAACCGGATCGTAGAAACCGCGGTTCTCCGTTACAGTGAACCGATTTTACAACTTTCAAGACATCGTTGAGAGTCCAGACGTTAGCAGTTGAAATTGATCATAAAGTTTCACACTTTAAATTATCGCTCCCTAAATCTGTTAATTAATTTTTTTTATTTTGCATCTTCATAAATATTTAATTTGAAGAAATTTCTCTTAAAAAAAAAAATATATTGAGCAAGGAAAAATAACAAACACTACTTTACGCATGACATTTCCACGTATTTTTTGCATAGCTTAATATTTTTTCAACGTGAAATAACCGAATGCATGGCGTGTTATTTTAAAATGACATATCGAACCGCGAAGAGAATTTATCATCGCTAAACGTTGCCTGTTGGGAACGCGAAAAGTAATGCTCACGGCATTACGGTACTTATGAATTACGGTTCACTTACGTATACACCCATGCAAAACCGGATTTCACCGCTGGTGTGTAATGTCGGAAACCAAAAGCCTCAAATCGCCCTTTTGTTGTTCAAGGATGTCTGCTTTAGGAAAGGAAGAAGACTTCCGATCCCTCGGTCCATCTATTGAAACGCACGCTCCGCTGTCCTAGTTCGGGCCGAGACTCGTCAAGGCCGTTCATCCGCGAGTTTCCAAACGACCAGAGACAACGGTACTTCCGCTCTGCGGTCGGTCCTTCGAGCTGCTGATTCTTCTTGCGCTCCAGTATTCGCGGGACTCTTTGATTCTTCAAATGATATTAAAATTGTAATCCCGCAAAAATTTCTGTGGTTCTCAAGTTGCTATAATCATTCCAGATTTTTCAAATTTTCAGAAAAGATACTTGGTCCAATGTATTTTTCAATATGTCTTCTAAGAACTTTTTTAATGTGTGTACACTTTTGTTCTGTTATTCTGGAAATATATTCAGAATGGATCCAAAAATAATTGTTTTTCCAAAATGTTAGATCCCAAAAGCGATTTCTTGAAATACCAAAATAAAGATCTGCTATTCACGGTCACTTTGAATTCTTTTCACGCTTAAGAAAATTTCCCAGGACAGCTTCCTATTCACCAAGAATAAATTCTTCTATAACTTGCAATCTTTTTTCTGCCTCGGACGAATTTTCAGGATTTTCCAGTATCGCGGATCCAGATTAAAAGATTGTTTCGCAGAAGAAATTTCTCAAAATCCTCAAAGTTTTAACAGCCACTCGTTGCTGTTTCTCGCTGACTTTTGCCAGCTCGGCGAGCACGTCCGGTCAGTGCGAGCGGGTGCGCGACTATGACTCGCAGCTAACACCGGAGTCACGCGCGAGTTAGCACCTGCCGGCTGGCTGGATGACGCAGGTCGATTTCGCGACTGGAACCTGGTGCTCGCGCGAGTTCTCTTGCGCTTAGCGAGGCGAGGCGAGTTAAACCGCGCCCGCACTATTCAGCTCCAGATGCGTTTCTTCCGATTCGATTTTCAGAATTCGTCTTCGAAGAACAACCAGGCGAGCACACGCGAATGATCGGGAAAACGGGCGCGCGCGGGTGACGGTCGGCCAACGAACTCGCACGATGCCTCTCTGTCGGATGCCGATGCCTCCGGTGCGAACGCAGGAAGCGGCGGACCGGGACTCTCTCGCCGTTCTCGAGCAGATCGTCGAGAGCCCACCTGCTCTCGTCCGACAATCGAAGTAGGGATACAGTTCTCCGGCAATCCGTCCATCGGAGACTCGTCTCGCGGATCTCGTCCTTTTGCCTTTCCTCGCGCTGCCCTACTCCCGGCCCCGTCGTATCCTGCGGCTTTTTCCGCTGCGCTCCAAATTTATCTGCGTCGTCTGGTCCTCTTTACTTGCTGACAGTTTTAAATGTTTTTTTTTAAATTGTTCTCAAATAATTATGCATATTTCCTTTTTTTTGGTAATTTTCCTGAAATTTTAATAACATTTTAAATATTTTAGATTGTATCAACCAATTTCTGTTAAAAGATTTAATAGAAAGATTCGATTTATCGAGGAAATCCTTTATTTCCACTTTTCCTCATCAATGTTGATTGCGATGCCGATCGAACGGTATCTTTATCAAAACGTAGCATAGTTATTAGCATAAATTTGCATCTTTGTTTATGTTAGTTTTTATTAATTTGTCGCGAAGGCGACGCGCGCCTTCTTGAAAAGTAAGCGCGACCTAGAAAGCGTGCACAGGAGCGTGTTTTTTTTTTCGTTAGCACATCTGCATTCCCCGTTAGATCTCTCTCTCTCCCGAGATGTAAAAGGAAGTCTTCTCTCGAACGAGGAGCTGGAAGAGAGAAGTCGTCGCCGCCGCGAGGTGGCAGCGCTCTTTCCTCTCTTAAAGACATCTTTTATCGTCTCCCACTACACGTGGATTTCTCGCCTCCTGCTCACCTGATCCCACTACATCTAACTGTAAAGAATGATCTTCTGCTGCTGGCGCCAGGTTGCGTCTCTTCTTGCAGGTACCGCTGCGAGTTTCGCTCTATACGATTTCGCAGCCTTCGCGACAATAAGCGTTCGTGAATAGAGATTCACGATTTATAGGATTATCGTATAACTTCCTGAGAATAATACTTCCTAGTGATTCATCATAATATTCAGTAATTTCAAATCTTACACGAAGAAAGCTAATCTTCCAGCGTGGTCTGTGCCTTTCTTTACCGGAATCACTTCCTTTCATCATAATAATGGCTAGTTCAGCACTTTTCTCTCTTTTCGTAACTAATTAATCGAACCAAGTGATGATTGGAGCGTGGAAAATATTCAAGGAACATTACAATTTAAATAAATTATTAAATACACTACTCAAATACGAATAGTTTGGAAGACGTTGGCTTGGATTATGAGAGATTAATTTAGTATTGATGATATCAATTTTTTTCAATGTTGCGATTAAATATTTCGAAGATTTTCATTATTTTACTATTTCAGTACAAAATTGCTGAATTTTAGATTTTTAATTACTAAAATTAATACTGAATCCGGCAAAATGCTATAATATTTTATAAAATTACGAGTAAAAGGTCGAAGAGCTCGAAAATAGTGTGTAATTACCCGTTAAACTTTTAAATATTCTTAAATCAGCTGTAAAACTATGTTGGGCATACATTTGTTTTTTGGTATTTCTGGTTTTTTTGCGATTGAAACTAGTCTAAGCGATTAAGAATTGACGTTGGTGAATGTTTAGAGAATTCGACGTTCTCCAACATGCAGCCGGTATTTTACCAAAAAACTCTGCACTGTTACTTCGAGTTTTGCTGAATTGTTGAATTTGCATGTTGAGAACTAGTTAGAGCAGTGTTGCGCAGTATTGAGCGTACTAGAATTTTTTATTGCCTTCTGTGTATATAAGAAATTATTTTTGCAAAACATAGTGGTAAAGAACACTTGAAACTTACAACACAACAACTCAGAATTTGAATAAAACCTGGTAGCCAAGTTTATTGATATAACAGATAGAATTTATTCCAGCATAAATTGACAGTAAATTAGCAAAAAGTAAAGTATTACATAAGTATTATCATTAATATCAAGTAATAAAATACCGTAAGTAAAACTACGTACAGTTTTATCAAAAAGTATGCAAAACTTTCTTTAGAACGTGTACTAAGATTTATTTATTAAAAGAAGATACTCTTCTACGTAGAAGCTGTTCTGCTGTCACGAACTTTCAGTATCGAACTTTTGTTAATTATTCTATTTGTTTTGCCGTGATTTGAAATCGTCACGCTCTGTCGGCTCTATCGATTTATTTTCAATGCAAGCGCAGCTCGTAAAACTGTCTGCGGCAAAAGCTGCGATTAGATTCTCATTTTTCTGCAAGATTGTCACTCACGAAAACAACGCGTGATCATATGCTAATTCGCCATGCATTTTAACTCGTGGTGATTTCCACTCCTTCGCTTAAAACGATTATATCGGGATCGATATGCAAAAATATTCCGCTGCATTCCAATCTTGTTTTGTTGTGCAAAACTGAAGAGTTGTGCGAACATCAATAGTGGCTGATTATGTGTCGTCAGTTAATGACTGATCCTTCCTATGGTGAAAGTTCTAGAATATGAAGCGCGCAATTATGGCAAATGCGTTGTTTATGGCGAGTGTGATTTTCTGCATTGCAATCACGCTTTTCAAGCGAGTTTAGTATTATTATCTGGAAATTTGATATCAATGTTGCAAATCGCCAATTAGTGCAAACACAATTGCACTGTATAATAACAAAATACTATTTGATTATTGTGAACAAATAAAATTTTTTTAAATTTTGCAATATGTAAAATAAATTTAACACAACATGGTATAAAACATAAATAAATTTTATTTAGAATAGTTACGAAAACCTTTTAATTATTACTAACGAAAAGTAGGAGAGCGGAATAATTAGCTAGCAATCTGAAATGAAGACAGTTTATGTAGTCGCTGTTTCTTTAGCTTCATTTGAATCGCAACGAAACGGACGGTCTTTGCTGCAATCGTGATTGATGGAAACTCGCGTGTAATTACGCCAAAGGTGCGAGGAGGCGTACTCGTTCGGCGTGACGCAAAACTTTCTCGCGGCCAACGAACTTACCGCGATAACCGATAAGTAACCATCAAGGTGAAAAGGATTAGATAAATATATAGAATCCTCTGACGAGCGCGCACGTGTATTGGAAAGCACATGCGATGCTGCGGACTTATTCCGTACATTGCAAAATCATCGATCAACTTCGACAAAAGACGAATTTCTACTATACTTTATCGTTCGAATAAAAATGTAAATATTTATCATTGATTCCCGCTCTTTGTAAACTCTTCACGAATCCATAAGATAAGATATATTATGATAAAACGAGGAGATTGGAAGAGCGTCTATTATTTTTTAAAAATTCAGACTAATTGTAAAAATAAATGTATACTTTTTCTCAGTATTCTATCAATTAAATTATTTATTTTTTATATCGTACGCGTGTAATTAATAATTTTATATAAAATTATTAATTATAAAATTATGACTTAGGAAAAAGATACATTTGCAACGTTTGAGAAATTTATTTCAAAATATCAAGGCAATATAAATTATTTATGTGATACAATTATTGAGAAAATAATATAATGATTTCATAAAATGATGAAACATATTGTACTGACGTAAAACCTAAGCTCGTGGTCTCTAATACGACATCGAGCGTAACAAACAAGTTGAGTTTGTAAATTTAAAAAAAACATTAAGCAAGCAACAACGCGCATGGAAGTGTGATACTTTTTTAATCGTACATACGCCTTCTGTGCTCATAAATCATCTCCGGAGATATGGAAGTGTATAAACACGCGATGGAAATCAAACAGCTGATTAGTATGCAATAAATACAATATTATCTGCAAGAAAATCTATATTCACATATTATTTGTCTCTGATAAAAACTACTACGTTTTAGAATTCTTAAAAAATTTTTATATATCAATTGAGCAGTCGATCGATCATTCAAATGTAAATCAAACGGCGATATAACGGAAAATACATGCTAATAAAATTTTCTCGTTACAGAAGAAACTTTAAGGAAAATGTTACCATTTACTTAGTGTCTTTTTTCTAAAAATAGTTAACGAATGTTAGAAATGAATTGAACTCTATTTACAGTGAAATTTATATCATAAGCCTGGGATTTGATAAGTAATCGGAGAAATTACTGAATTGCACTGTTAAATACATATAATTCCAGGCAATAAAATTATTAAAGAGATTACAAAGGAATCACATTGAGTGATAAAAGAATTTTCGTTGTAAAAATGTCTAAACAAAGGCGTATCTGGAATACTGTGGAAAATACCTGGCGACATTAGAGACTAATTTGAATACGAGTCACGCGGATCAGCTAAATCGACCCGTGATCAGTGGACTGATGAGCCTCGTGCCGCTGCGAGGGGCTCGTTTCGGTCGAGCCAGAGAGGCTCGGCGATAAATTCTGTAACGTAATGTGGAATTTCTGGCTTTCTGACTGGCTGTCAGAGATGGCCGTGCCTGTTAACGGAGTCGTGCCTACGTAAATAGTCGCGCCCGATTGGTCTGTGAGCAGATAAACATGTTTTTTGTATAATATCGATCTCGTCGATTGCGTCGTGTAAGGACAACCGCATTTATATAAAACGGGGGAGTGTCACAGAAAACACACTGTATTTCGTGCTGCGCCTTCAGAGAAAAGAATCGCTGGTGTCATGAAGGACGAATTTAAGGTAGTGGATTATTGATTCTCATAGAAAATTAAGTCTAAGGAAAGATTTTTTCGATAAAATTTTATGGATAATGGAATGAGAGATCGCTTAGATCAATACTTTTCAAGTTGTTTTACAAACGGCCCAAACGTTTCCATGTGATTTTACTTAGAAACAGTCTGAAAAGAGAAACGTAATATTGTTAATTAGTGTATTAATTTAATGGGAGAGGAATAATATGGTATTCTATCAAGTAATGATATCTTTACGTGCCTTATCTTCTCGCATTGTGCATGCTAGTATCTCACGGGATTCGGTTGCGAGTTCTCCAGCGAGGACGAGCGTTGTCCAGGGGCGCTACCTGTTGGACAGAACAATCCGCAAAAATGTCCGTATGGCCTCTACGCCGAGCAATTGTCAGGAACAGCGTTCACCGGTGAGTAAAGTCGCGTGCTTTGCTCATTTAACCCTTTTTATTATCTCGAAGCAATATGTCTAAAAGAATACTGTTCTTTGATTTTAATCAAAGCTTAGGAAATCATAGCTTCTTTCGGATCTAACAAATTATAAATTTATTAATCCGAGTAACGTATCTTTTTAGAAATTTTAGATCGTGAAATAAATTGAAAGCTTTTCCTTGTTTTGAAAGAGATAACGTTAATTTAGATGTGAATCAAACTAAAATTAACAAACTTAGATCTGTATCGTGATTCTTTTTACTTATCACATGATATTTATCAAATCTTAATAAGTGAGAAATTGCAAGACATTACAAACACTATTTAATGAAAACAAATAATAGTTTATAAGAACACAAATCACTTTATTTAAATTTTTCTTCTCGCTATTAAATTTTTATAATTTTTATTCTTGACATAATGTATTGTGCGTTGTTATTTTCTTAGTTCCACGAAGTCAAAATAAAAGATCATGGCTTTATCGGATAAAACCGTCCGTCGTTCACAAGCCATTCAAGCCCTTCACCAGATCCTACGATCTCGATTCTTATGTAATGAACGATTGGAACAATACCTCCCCCAATCCTAATCAGGTAACTTTCAATAATATATTGAAAGACAGATTCAATTTAATAATAGTCCAACTAGAAAAATGAATCTAGATGTAGTTTTCTCCAGAGATTATTTTTTTTAATTCTTAAAAAAGTAAATTAGATCTGTGCGCTGAATCTTATTCGCACATTTGGGGTTTCAATGATTTATCTGGAGCTATTTGCTCACACTTCAGCTAAGATGGAAGACGTTCGACGTCCCGACGCGACAAGATCCCGAGGTCGACTTTGTAGAGGGTCTTCATACTCTGTGTGGCGCCGGCGATCCTAAAATACGCCAGGGCGTCGCGGTGCACGTGTATCTGTGCAACGCTTCTATGAAGGATAGGGCTTTTTACAACGCTGACGGTGACTTTCTCATCGGTAGGTGGCAGTAAGAAAGTCACTTTTCCTGAAAAACAATATACGAACGGAGAATTCCAATTGCATTTGCAGTCCCTCAGCTGGGCGCTCTGCAGCTCACCACCGAGTTCGGCAAGATGCGGTGCGAGCCGAACGAGATATGCGTTGTTCAGCAGGGAATGCGATTTTCCGTAACCGTCTTCGGTCCGTCCAGAGGTTACATCCTCGAGATCTTCGACAATCATTTTCAGTTGCCGGAATTGGGGCCGATAGGTAATTGTCGATTCGAAAAACTGAGCGTGAAGGTTGTTTTACGTTTCTTTAATTAGAAATTAAAAAAATTAAATCCGAACTCAGTTCTCTTAGTACTAATAGCAAATTACTATGCTTTTCTCAATTGTATTTAATTTTTGAGGCGGAGTTTTTTTGAAGAATAATCACGGTTCAAATGTCGTCATGAAATAATTAATTTCTTTCTATTAAAAATTCGATGAATTTAATGTTTCCTTAATGAACGAATTAATGAGCGGAGCTAACGCACAGGAGCGAACGGCCTGGCGAGTCCGAGAGACTTTCAGACGCCGGTGGCTTGGTACGAGGATCGCGAAATCGATTACAAGATCGTATGCAAATATCAAGGAAAGTTGTTTACGGCTGATCAAGGCCACAGTCCCTTCGACGTAGTCGCGTGGCATGGCAATTACGCACCTTACAAATATGATCTCGATCGATTCATGGTCATCAATTCGGTTTCCTTTGATCACTGCGTAAGTAAATATCTTCACATCACGTGTAGATATCTAAAGAAGTTCTGAAATTTAAAAAAATTCTATGTATGTGTACAATCAAAGTTCTCGTATATAAAATAAAATTTTGCACGATACGAGATGAGCGTGCTAGTAATAGAATATTTATTTCGACCGATTTGAACTTGTTCAATACAAAATTGAGGTTGCATTTCACATACGACAAAAATATATGTATATGTTGTAAATTTCTATTGTTATTTTTTGCTCGAATTTTTTGAATTCAATGATGTTTTTGAATGAATAATTCAACATTTCCGTAGGATCCATCCATCTTCACCGTGCTGACATGCCCTACTAACAAGCCTGGAACCGCGGCGGCCGATTTCGTGATCTTTCCACCCCGATGGTCCGTGCAGGAACACACTTTCCGGCCGCCTTACTATCATCGTAAGTACAATAGAAAGTATATTCTTTTTGCGCTCATGCGCGCACGCGTCGATGATTAAACTAAACAAGGCTTTGGCATGCTCATTATAATTCTTTTAAGCACAAATGTGATGTTAATTTAAAAAGTCTGAAATTATTGTCGCGACTGCCATAATTTTCAATATTTTGCTTAAACTTAAACAAAATGCAATGAATAATATTTTGCATTATAAAAACATAGAAAAATTAGACGTTAGAAACATTTTAATCTTTCTGAGACGTTCTTTAAATTCTTGTGTCACTACATAATTGCTGTATAACGCATAATACGTTTACCAGACACGATGTATCCCCGCGAAATGGCGAAACGTCCGGCTTTTTTCCTCTCACCGGTCTCGAGGGTCGATTATACGCGGTAGGAGATCGAGCGAGCGTTCTGTCGAACTTAACTCGGTAACGTCTTCGTTCCGGAAGAGCGCCCTGGGAAATTGTGCAACCAAGTTAGCTCGGAGAGAAAACTCGAAATTTTTCCCGTCGACCGGTCGCACAATGTTTCTTTCACCGGTAGGTCGTTTCACCGGCGATCCCGATCCGATCGATTACGAGACGAGGACGAGGCCACTTTCGTTCGATGTCGCGGTCGTCTTCGTCGTTGTGTGTTGTGTTTCGCTGTATTATTGCGCTCTTGTCGGGAAAGTTCGTTGCGTGCAAAGAGAAAGACGCGTAAGCACGATGCTCGCCGACGAGAACGCATCCTTACGAGTTAAGTAATTGGAAGCTACGCGACGACCGGCCGCTATCAAAGTCGTGAATGTTGCTTGTCCCGTTGTGCAGAAATTACACGCACACGCGTGCCAAATTATAGGATCGATCGAGGTAACTGTGACAGTGGCCTAGACGCGCGATAGTATTTTCTAGTCGTAAAATTAATGTTCATTATCGGGGATTTCGTCGAAAGCCGACAACGACGACGCTTCGATTAATAGCTACCACATACTTATAAGGAGAAAGTAATTATCATTTTTTTTGTTCTCTCAGCAAACACCTTAAGCAAATACATGTTTATACGATCAGTGAAAAATTCATGCATTAATCTTCGCGGAATTAGTGAAAGATGATTACGAAAAGCTGATTAGAAATTACATCGTTGTGAAACATTACAATTTTACTGTCATAGCAGATAGTTTATGAAATAAATTAAGAGTGAAATCAATAAATTACGCCAAATGAATAAATTGTAACCGATAAGATAATTTTCTATTCAATAGCGACTTTAATTTTATGACTACAGATTTTTAACTCCGATTAGTTTTTATTTCTTGAACTTTGCTTTCTTTTTTTCTGAGAATTGAAATTTTTCTTTTCTAGAAGATGTGTTGCATTGATATTTGCAGTTTTGCTTCGCTAATATCAAACTGCGCAATACGCACAATGCGTATCTCAAAATACATTCGAACGTTAGTAAGAGTAGTCGCCTGCTTTCTCTGAGATTTGATAACCGGTATAGCGGCGCGTTCAATGCGGGCTATTCTCCACGTTAATGAATAAGTCGACAGCGCGTGGAGAGCGATAATATGCAAAACGTGCGGGATTTCCATTGCAGATCCCCCCGGTGCGTTTCATTGCGCGATCGTGATTCGACATGACGTGTTATGCGTTCGGCTCGCATGCCGACTTGTCGATGATGATATCAATAACGAAAATCAACGTTGATAATTTAATATAAATGATTCATTCGGCATCCATTTGCAAGCACACCGAGTGTTATGCGTTTCGCGAGGATTTCTATTTCAAATATTGAAATACTTATCAAATATTTAATATTTATGAAATTAAATCGTTTATCGACAATTTAGAACTTTATTATCTTTTTATTTAATAACATGCAAATATTTATTTAGTTTAATTTGCATAATCAACGCAGTAATAAAATTCAATAGTGGTGTTTTGAAGTCAATCAATTAAAATAATTTATTCCGAAGGAAATGGAGCGTATAATGTGTTAGCTTTGAAGTATCATATGATGTACTATTTTATTTTATTTTTAGTTTCTTTTTTTGTGTTTTTACACACCGTATATAATTTACGTTATAGCAGTATTATTTTTGCGTCGAGAATAATTTATGCAGTCGATTAGTTTTCTTCAGCGAACTGTATGTATAAAATTCATGTAATATAGTGAATATTGAGGAAAATAGAGAGGGTCCTAAAAACTTTCGCTGTTCGATCTTCAGGAAATTGCATGAGCGAGTTTATGGGGCTGATAAGGGGTCGTTACGAGGCAAAGGAGGACGGTTTCTCCGCCGGTGGTGCATCGCTGCACTCTGTCATGACTCCGCACGGTCCTGACAGACAGTGTTTCGAGGCCGCGTCCAATAACGAGCTGGTGCCAGAACGGATCGCTGACGGTACGCAGGCATTCATGTTCGAGACCTCATACAGCATGGCCGTGACAGAATGGGCCGCTAAGCTGTGCAACAAACTGGACGACAATTACCACGGATGCTGGCAGGGTCTACGCAAGCACTTTAATCCCACCGATTAGCCGGTCAGAAATTGCTTACAATTAGTACGTTTACGTTGATACATTCAAGATTGATTCAAGATCGTCTTTGAGACTTACTTTCGTTTAACTCCCCCCAATGTGTTGAAGCTACTAAGGCCATTATCTTTAGATGACACGTATTTTAGCGTCGACTATACGTCTTCATCAAGAAAAGAAAAAATGTATTTTTGATGACCGATGAAAAGTGAAAAGGCAGGAAAGAGCCTCTTTCTTTTCACCGGTTTATTTTCCCTTTCACTGGCGACTGTGTGTTTGAAAGAGATAACACGCCGGAGTCTTTTAAACACTTTTCTTTCATTGGTATTTTAATATCTTTTCCGTCGAGGTGGTACCGCGCGCAATGCGATCTTTCTCTTCCGACCGTCAAGAAACTTCTACAGCGTATCGCGTCCGAGAGATATCGTGCAAAACTGCAAAAGTTATCTGGTGCGTGCAGTTGGGACTATGAATTCGCTATATCGACATCACGTTCGCACGTAGAATGTTGCTGGGTGCAAGGAACTTTTAATAACATCTACCTTCTACCGAGCTTATCACGACTTTCGTAATCAATGCGATGCGTGATTCGACGATAATGTGTTAGATAAAGATGCAGTATTACACGATGTTTCGAAACCGTTGCATAGCGAGGCGAATTGTATCGAATTCATTTGAAATCTTAAATACGACGTTATCGTTAATTACTTCGATTAAATGCAATTTCTCTATTAAACTGATAGGATATGTTTAATTACTGAATAATGAAATTTTTGTTATTCCACAAGTTCATCGAGAACCAAAATATTGTATACAATAATCTATAAGATTTGTTTTTAAATTACAACAGGTTTCGTAATTATAAACAACGTCATGTGGCAATATTGTAGCATAGCTTGCAATAGAATAAATTTCATCCTATCTGAGATCTGACGTTTGCATAAATGTTTATGAAATCGTTTCTTCGATTGAGAATATAAACAGGAATCATGTAATTTTTTATGTCGCAACATGTGCGATAAATTTGTTATTTAAATGTTCGTTTGATACGTTTTTTAGGGGCTGAGGTGTCTGGTGGCGTTTCTTTGGTTTTTTGAAAAATAAAAATATTTATAAAATAGGAAGTGACAATTTTCTTCTCTCATTTCAGTTTATCTCACTTTTAATTCCTGCAGTTTCAAGCTTATCAATTTTAAAATTTTTTATCTTGATTCTTTATCTTATCGGAATTTCAGGAAATTTATCTATGCTCTATAATTAATTAAATAAAACAATAAAAGAAAATATACTCACTGTCGAGAAAAAGGATCGATATTTCGATGTACAACTTTTTTCCTTTGTCTTCTTTTTGATTTATAATCGTGTCGCAATTTTTCGCTTACGCGCTGACTGACTCAGATGACTTGAGTCATCGATGATCCGCCTTGTAGAGACCGTTCTTGTCGACGATAAGCGACGTAAGCAGTACCTGTCAGTTCCAGCAGAGCTTTCCTCGCGTCAACACGCAGCTGACCTCATATCCGATGAAAATAATCGTCGCTGTTTGTGTCGCGTGACTTTTGCGTTGTTTCGATTCACGACGGAGCATGTAAATCGGTGCGTAAGATGTCATTCAGTACTGTGAGTGCCTGAGTTGCCGTCGAGACTCGGTGTAGTTGACATGTTGAGGTCAGTGACATGTGTAACCTATCGAATGTCATGTATTGTTAAGTAACGCATAACCTAAAGATGCGTAAGACATTCCGCAGCTTCTTCGTCGTTGTCGTCCTATGTCTCTTGACAGGACGTGCCATAGCCTCGGATTGCTATCCGAATTATTGTCAGAAATTGGTAAGTGTTTTATCACTGCAGATTGTCGATTCACAGGTATTTTGACAGTATGTCATTGGATGTATAACACGCGTCTGTCCCGAGAAAATTACACACCTTTTCCACTCATTTACTCTTCAATGAAATTAGATTAATTCTAAACGGAAAATAAATTGTAAAAATAATTTTTTTGTATCTTACCTTAAGGTTCTGCAGTGTAGGGTTTTTAATGCTGTATGTTATTTTTGAAACAACGTGTATATTTTGTAAAAGGAATATATACAGCAGTGTTTTATATGATTCTGAAAAATATTATTTAGTTAATTATTAAATTATAAATTCGATTGTGAACAAATAGATAATAAATGGCGAATAACTCTTGCATTATGTAAGCTGATAATAAATTCTAAAATAAAAATTTATCTTCTGTCGTCATTCGAACAGCACAATCTTCTTTTTCCTTGAATTGATTATTAGTATTACATGCTGATACACGTGCAGTTCTTTGTAATAATTTTATAAATAATAATTTTCTAATAATTTTATTATTGTTCTATAATAATTTTATTTTTATTTTGTTTTCTGCTTTATTTAGACTGACCCACCAACATCGGGTTATTCATGCTTACTTACAACGCCAGTAAAAAAGGGGGAAGGTAGGAATCGATAGTTCAATTTAACAAAGAGATTTTTATGATGTCATAAAAACTCATTGACTAATAAATAATTTTATAGATTGCGCGAAGCAAAAATTTGATAATGTCAAGTTATCGAAAGATAACGCCGCAACTTTCACATTGTATGTATATGTAACAAACTTCGAGGAACAAATAAAAGCAACTGCATTTAATTTATCGATCTCAGACATCAGTTTTAATAGTAAGGATATATTAGACAAATATTTGATGAAATATTTTCACAATTGCTTTGTCGTGCATTAAAATATTTATTTAAAATTAGGTTTAACCATGCGTTATCAAGAGATCGCTAACAAAAACGAGAATGCGTGTAGACACATAGAGCTGTATGGAAATTCCAGTCATCCCGCGCCTAAAGATTTGTACGTCTCGTGTCCGTTTAACGACGCTACGTACGAAGGTGCCTCGTATCGCTTGGAGTGTCTCGTAATCGGAAAAAATTACGTGTATACCAAGAAATATATTTTTTACGTGCCGTGGCACAGACTTATCGGTGAGTTTTTTTTCGTCACGTAGCTGCTTTATCGCGTTGTTCTCATTGTCACTATCTGTGAATCTTTCAGAGGATGGTGTCGACGTTAAAACGTATACGCCTTTTGTATATGTTGATGTATCGGATTCCTCGAATCTGGTGTTAAACGTACAACAGCTTCCATCGAGATATAATGTAACAGAGTACAAAGTGTGGTTGATTAAAAATGACACACAGTTAACAATTAGTACAATCATTCCCGCGGATAAAAGTGGGAGTCATGTTCAGTATAACTTTTCCCTACCCGATGGCATTTATTATGTCAAAGTCGCGGCTTTACATCGCGAATGCGGCGAACATGGATGCGCGAACAGCACGACGCCGTTTATACACATAAGTAAATATAATCGTTTAACATGTGTCTATATATATATTTTTTTTACTTTAAAAGCAACTTTTTAAACGCCGTTATTTTCGCATTCCCAGACCGAGTGTCCAATCGATTGCTGATTATGATAATCAGTTTGATATGGATACCACCTGTTGTAGTGTTCGCGCTGTATCATGCGTTTAAGGTTTACAGAAAGAAGGGTGAGGATTTTTTCTCCGCAAATATCGAATTAAATTTAAACTCGTATCTCGACAAGTAATTCTTTTATACGATTTGTTACAGTCTTGAAGAGAATGGCGATGAGGCCGAATTGTTTGCTGATATACTCTCCGACGCATCCGGCGCACGTAAATGTAATGGGAGAGTTGGCAAAGTATCTGCGATGCTGCAACATCAATGCCATGATAGATATGTTCGATATCGCGAAGACCGCCAGCAAGGTGAGTAATTAATTGAATTATGCTTACGATATTATCGCGGTAATTGCCTTTAAAATAAATCACGAATTAATTACGTTTAATTAACCTAATTAGTGAATTTATACGGGCGAAAGCGTGGCGCAATTTAACAAGATAACTCTGTTACCGTAGGATCCAGGTCTCTGGTGCAATACTGCGTTTCAGACCGCGGATGTTGTGCTCGTCGCGACGTCCCCGCCGACGTCCGCGAAATCCGACACGACGATTATTTATCGAAACGTGGACAATCACCTGTTGCGACTGCTCAAGGAGAACTATCCGCAGAGGAATAAGAGGTATTACGCGATACATCTGCCGTATTGCAAGTCGGATCACATACCGGAGGAAGCGCGGCTTTTCAAAAAATTCCACATGCCCGAGGAACTGACGAAGCTCGTAAAGACGATTTACGGTATTGGCTGTCTGCAATACTTCGCAGCGTCGGACGGAGAGTTCTTGGAGAGCATTAAATTTGCCACAATAATGTTTGAGGACGAGCCGAGCGCGACGAAAAATATCGAAGAGACCGGTAAGTAGCATTGTTTTTTGTTTTTTTTTTTGGTCCGATATTTGATTTTATTATCGTAACAATAGCTTTGCTCTCTCTTCGGATTTTTTTACATGTATTTTCTTAATTGTTGTATTTAAACGAAATCTACTTTCTTTTTGCACATTTTATTTGTTGCATTCACTAAGGTTAAAGTCAAAGCTGCAAAATTATTATTACTATATTAATAATTTTACATCTGTCTGAACTTTCTTCAGACGATTTATTACCGGCGATCGTCATACAAGAGAGTAAAGATTGCGATGCCGATCGGCCGATAAAAAATACTTCGCGATGTCCCGACACACCGGATTGCGACGTCATACCGCAGTCTTTCACGACAAACATCGACGAGTTGAACCTGCTCGGTGAGATTGGCGAGGGAAAGTCCTTCGGCTTCAATTCCGCGAGGAATGACTGCGAGTTTCGCATTGATAAGTTAAACTTATGATTTTTTTTACGTTGTGCAAGAATAGTTCGTAAGATATTTCTAGAAAGTTTTAATTTAAGTTTTCTATACCGAAATTAATTGCATGTGCGAGATGAAGTGATATGAATAAAAAATATTTCATAAGTTTTATTAACTCGTATCAAATGGGGATTTACGTCGAACCCACTTTTACATCCTTTAAATCCAAATCATATTCTTTTTTATTAAAATATTACACTGCAGCCTGATGAAAAAATTCTCGCACTATATTTCTCATAGATCGCCTTATACTAAGTCCGCATAAAAATTTATCACAACACCTAACGATGATAAAATCAAAAATTGTTCCTTCTCATCCTCACTTTCTCTTTTTTTTTTCTTACTAACTTTTTTCTTTTCACTTTTCCTCATCTTTGGAAAGATTATTATTACAATGAC